AGTGAGGGTCCCACTGGATTTAATCCAGGAACACTGGGAGGGAGAAGGGACCATTAATGGCACACCTATCGTACCCTACGTGCTGGAGTTTAGGGAACGCTTGGAGGCTCTGACCCAGACTGTGCGCGACAACCTCCAGGCGGCCCAACAACGACAGCGCAGATGGTACAATAAGGGAGCACGGGACCGCAGCTTTCAGGTGAGGCAAAAGGTACTAATCCTTCGACCAGTCCACAAGGACAAGCTGCAGGCTTCCTGGCAGGGCCCATACAAGGTGGTAGAACAGTTATGTGATACCACCTACGTGATCGGTCCGGCCGCAGGCGCAGGGGGAAAACGCATGCTCCATGTGAATATGCTCAAGCCATACCATGAGCGTACCGAAGAGGTAACCGCGATCTGCGTGCCAGCTACCGAGGACTTTGACAATCTACCCCTCCAAGACCTCCTAGACCAAGAGGGCCGGAACGGAGACCTGGGAGAGGTACAGCTAGGGGAGCGGTTAAGGCCCCAAGAACGAACCCAAGTCCAAAACTTAATAAGAGAAAAAGGGGCCACCTTTTCCAATCTACCCGGGTACACCCCACTGGCCATGCACAAGGTAGAAACCCTAGAATAGACCCCACTTCGCCAACCTCCTTACCGCATACCAGAATCCGTAAAAGAAAGCATGCGTAAGGAGATTGATGAGATGTTACAGTTAGGGGTGATAGAACATTCGGACAGCCCCTGGGCCTCCCCAGTAGTGCTAGTGCTGAAACGGGACAGGACGACCCGTTTCTGTGTGGACTACCGGAGGCTCAACGACAAGACGATCTCCGACGCTTACCCTATGCCCCGGATAGACGAGCTCCTAGACAAAATGACCACGGGCCAGTACCTCACCACAATAGATTTGTGTTAAGGGTACTGGCAAATACTGCTAGCCGAGGACGCCATCCCCAAGTCAGCGTTTGTCACCCCGTTTGGCCTGTACCAATTTAGGGTCATGCCATTCGGGATGGTAGATCGGTTACTGGATGGGTTCCAGGAGTATGCTTGTGCCTATCTAGATGATATCGCCATTTTCAGCCACTCCTGGACCGAACACCTGACCCACATAGGAGCCGTACTAGACCGGATTAGGGAGGCAGGACTGACCCTCAAACCCATTAAGTGCCACGTAGGGATGGCAGAGGTTCAGTACCTAGGGCACAGGGTAGGAAGCCGCCAACAGAAACCAGAGCCCGCTGAAATAGAGGCAGACGACAAGTGGCCAACCCCCCGCACCAAGACACAAGTCCTCGTGTTCCTAGGTACCGCATGGTACTATCGCAAATTCGTGCCCAACTACTTAACCCGTAAGAACCTCCTAAGATAGTAGTATGGGCCCCAGAGTGTGACCAGGCATTCCAACAGCTCAAGCCGGCGCTTATGCAATCACCTGTACTTTCTGCTCTTGATCCAACTAAACGTTTTCTCGTCCATACAGACGCTTTTATGTTTGAATTGGGAGCAGTACTGAGTCAAGGTGGAGCGGATGGCGGCGAGCACCCAGTGGCTTACCTCAGCAGAAATCTTTTACCCAGAGAAGTAAGCTACGCCGCCATTGAAAAGGAATGCCTGGCTGTGGTGTTGGCCCTCAAAAAGCTGCAGCCCTATTTGTATAGGCATCCCTTTACATTGCTCACAGATCACAACCTGTTGGTGTGGCTGAACAGGGTGTCAGGAGCCAATGCCAGGCTGCTGCGCTGGAGTTTGGCACTGCAGCCTTTTGACTTTACTATCCACTACCGCCCTGGAAAGCAGAATGGCAATGCTGACGGGTTATCCAGACAGACAGACCTTGAAAAGTGATCTGTAAATACTCCTGCAGACATCCCCAAGCCGATCCGTTGGAATCAGACTGTGTATGCCGGCTTGGTTTTGGGGGAGCATTGTGGCAAAACTAGCCACTTAAGACTGTATTTGTATTAATGTGTTGCTGTTGCTTTAAGAATGTTAGAACCTAGCGTATACCTAATTCTTTATTTTGTGCGAACAAGAGCATTCGTATGCTAGCGGCACAAAAGCCACAAGCATTCATACAGTAGTTTCACGAACAGTGAATTTCAACACTGTTTGTGAAACGAACAAACTACAGAATGGGATACCACACATAGGCGGTCGTGTGGCTCCCATTAAACATTGCAAATTGTATCTTTCGGTAGTTATTAAAGATTCAGGGTGGCCTCCTTTCGGCTACCGACCATGCGGCGGTCTGCCATCTTGGATCCTTTGTTAGCCCAGTGGTATTTTGTCGTTGAGTGCCTGGAACTAAAATCGGCTACTCGACGGCATGAATACCGCTGGACTTCCAGGCCGTTCGGGAGTACCGGTCTTTCGGTATTTGCTCCCTACGAGTATATTTGTGTAATTTATGCGAAGTATATATACGATTGAAATTCATGCAGCGTTCGGCTAGATGTGCTGGGATCTGAGGGGTATATAGGGCATTTCTAGTAGGTGTATAGATGATTTATAAGGGGTATATAGGGCATTTCTAGTAGGTGTAAAGGAGATTTATAAGGGGTATATAGGGTATTTATAGTAGGTGTATAGGAGATTTATAAGGAGTATATAGGGTATTTATAGTAGGTTTATAGATTATTTATAATGGGTAAGCTGTTCCTGTTACTAGCGGAGATATTGTGGATACTACCTCTCTGCTACAATTGGTGTCAATTTATAGTAGGTTTATAGATGATTTATAAGGGGTATATAGGGTATTTATAGTAGGTTTATAGATGATTTATAAGGGGTATATAGGGCATTTATAGTAGGTGTATAGGAGATTTATAAGGGGTATATAGGGCATTTCTAGTAGATTTATAGATGATGTATAAGGGGTATATAGGGCATTTCTAGTAGGTGTATAGAGGATTTATAAGGGGTATATAGGGCATTTATAGTAGGTGTATAGATGATTTATAAGGGGTATATAGGGCATTTCTAGTAGGTGTATAGAGGATTTATAAGGGGTATATAGGGCATTTATAGTAGATTTATAGATGATTTATAAGGGGTATATAGGGCATTTCTAGTAGGTGTATAGATGATTTATAAGGGGTATATAGGGCATTTCTAGTAGGTGTAAAGGAGATTTATAAGGGGTATATAGGGTATTTATAGTAGGTGTATAGGAGATTTATAAGGGGTATATAGGGTATTTATAGTAGGTTTATAGATTATTTATAATGGGTAAGCTGTTCCTGTTACTAGCGGAGATATTGTGGATACTACCTCTCTGCTACAATTGGTGTCAATTTATAGTAGGTTTATAGATGATTTATAAGGGGTATATAGGGTATTTATAGTAGGTTTATAGATGATTTATAAGGGGTATATAGGGCATTTATAGTAGGTGTATAGATGATTTATAAGGGGTATATAGGGCATTTATAGTAGGTGTATAGATGATTTATAAGGAGTATATAGGGCATTTATAGTAGGTGTATAGATGATTTATAAGGGGTATATAGGGCATTTATAGTAGGTGTATAGGAGATTTAAAAGGGGTATATAGAGTATTTATAGTAGGTGTATAGATTATTTATAATGGGTAAGCTGTTCCTGTTACCAGCGGAGATATTGTGGATGATACTACCTCTCTGCTACAATTGGTGTCAATTTATAGTAGGTGTATAGATGATTTCTAAGGGGTATATAGGGCATTTACAGTAGGTGTATAGGAGATTTATAAGGGGTATATAGGGCATTTATAGTAGGTGTATAGATGATTTAAAAGGGGTATATGGGGCATTTCTAGTAGGTGTAAAGGAGATTTATAAGGGGTATATAGGGCATTTCTAGTAGATTTATAGATGATATATAAGGGGTATATAGGGCATTTATAGTAGGTGTATAGGAGATTTATAAGGGGTATATAGGGCATTTCTAGTAGATTTATAGATGATGTATAAGGGGCATATAGGGCATTTATAGTAGGTGTATAGATGATTTATAAGGGGTATATAGGGCATTTCTAGTAGGTTTATAGATGATTTATAAGGGGTATATAGGGCATTTATAGTAGGTGTATAGGAGATTTATAAGGGGTATATAGGGCATTTCTAGTAGATTTATAGATGATGTATAAGGGGCATATAGGGCATTTATAGTAGGTGTATACATGATTTATAAGGGGTATATAGGGCATTTATAGTAGGTGTATAGGAGATTTATAAGGGGTATATAGGGCATTTATAGTAGGTGTATAGGAGATTTATAAGGGGTATATAGGGCATTTCTAGTAGATTTATAGATGATGTATAAGGGGCATATAGGGCATTTATAGTAGGTGTATAGATGATTTATAAGGGGTATATAGGGCATTTCTAGTAGGTGTAAAGGAGATTTATAAGGGGTATATAGGGCATTTCTAGTAGATTTATAGATGATGTATAAGGGGCATATAGGGCATTTATAGTAGGTGTATAGATGATTTATAAGGGGTATATAGGGCATTTACAGTAGGTGTATAGGAGATTTATAAGGGGTATATAGGGCATTTCTAGTAGGTTTATAGATGATTTATAAGGGGTATATAGGGCATTTATAGTAGGTGTATAGGAGATTTATAAGGGGTATATAGGGCATTTCTAGAAGATTTATAGATGATGTATAAGGGGCATATAGGGCATTTATAGTAGATGTATAGATGATTTATAAGGGGTATATAGGGTATTTATAGTAGGTGTAAAGGAGATTTATAAGAGGTATATAGGGCATTTCTAGTAGATTTATAGATGATGTATAAGGGGCATATAGGGCATTTATAGTAGGTGTATACATGATTTATAAGGGGTATATAGGGCATTTATAGTAGGTGTATAGGAGATTTATAAGAGGTATATAGGGCATTTATAGTAGGTGTATAGGAGATTTATAAGGGGTATATAGGGCATTTATAGTAAGTTTATAGATTATTTATAATGGGTAAGCTGTTCCTGTTACTAGCGGAGATATTGTGGATACTACCTCTCTGCTACAATTGGTGTCAATTTATAGTAGGTTTATAGATGATTTATAAGTGGTATATAGGGTATTTATAGTAGGTTTATAGATGATTTACAAGGGGTATATAGGGCATTTATAGTAGGTGTATAGATGATTTATAAGGGGTATATAGGGCATTTCTAGTAGGTGTAAAGGAGATTTATAAGGGGTATATAGGGCATTTCTAGTAGATTTATAGATGATGTATAAGGGGCATATAGGGCATTTATAGTAGGTGTATACATGATTTATAAGGGGTATATAGGGCATTTATAGTAGGTGTATAGGAGATTTATAAGGGGTATATAGGGCATTTATAGTAGGTGTATAGATGATGTATAATGGGTATATAGGGCATTTATAGTAGGTGTATAGATGATTTATAAGGGGTATATAGGGCATTTATAGTAGGTGTATAGATGATTTATAAGGGGTATATAGGGCATTTATAGTAGGTGTATAGATGATTTATAAGGGGTATATAAGGCATTTATAGTAGGTGTATAGGAGATTTATAAGGGGTATATAGGGCATTTCTAGTAGATTTATAGATGATGTATAAGGGGCATATAGGGCATTTATAGTAGGTGTATACATGATTTATAAGGGGTATATAGGGCATTTATAGTAGGTGTATAGGAGATTTATAAGGGGTATATAGGGCATTTATAGTAGGTGTATAGATGATGTATAATGGGTATATAGGGCATTTATAGTAGGTGTATAGATGATTTATAAGGGGTATATAGGGCATTTATAGTAGGTGTATAGGAGATTTATAAGGGGTTTATAGGGCATTTATAGTAAGTTTATAGATTATTTATAATGGGTAAGCTGTTCCTGTTACTAGCGGAGATATTGTGGATACTACCTCTCTGCTACAATTGGTGTCAATTTATAGTAGGTTTATAGATGATTTATAAGTGGTATATAGGGTATTTATAGTAGGTGTATAGGAGATTTATAAGGGGTATATAGGGCATTTCTAGTAGGTGTATAGGAGATTTATGAGGGGTATATAGGGCATTTCTAGTAGATTTATAGAAGATGTATAAGGGGCATATAAGGCATTTATAGTAGGTGTATAGATGATTTATAAGGGGTACATAGGGCATTTCTAGTAGGTGTATAGGAGATTTATGAGGGGTATATAGGGCATTTCTAGTAGATTTATAGAAGATGTATAAGGGGCATATAAGGCATTTATAGTAGGTGTATAGATGATTTATAAGGGTTTATAGGGCATTTATAGTAGGTGTAAAGGAGATTTATAAGGGGTATATAGGGTATTTATAGAAGTTTTATAGATGATGTATAAGGGGCATATAGGGCATTTATAGCAGGTGTATAGATGATTTATAAGGGGTATATAGGGCATTTATAGTAGGTGTATAGATGATTTATAAGGGGTATATAGGGCATTTATAGTAGGTTTATAGATGATTTATAAGGGGTATATAGGGTATTTATAGTAGGTTTATAGATGATTTATAAGGGGCATATTGGGTATTTAGAGTAGGTTTATATTAGATTTATAAGGGGTATATTGGGCATTTATAGGAGGTTTATAGATGATTTATAATGGGTATATAGGGTATTTATAGTAGGTTTATATTTGATTTATAAGGGTTATATAGGGCATTTAAAGTAGGCGTATAGATGATTTATAAGTGGTATATAGGGTATTTAAAGTAGGTTTATAGATTTATAAGAGGGATTTAGGGCATTTATAGTAGGTTTATTGATGATTTATAAGGGGTTTATAGGGTATTTATAGTAGGTTTATAAGAGATTTATAAGGGGTATATAGGGCATTTATGGTAGGTTTATAGATTATTTATAAGGTGTGACGAGACCAATCTCGCCACATTGCATTGGAGAAGCCTGGTTTCTCGCCTGCTGCCTTTGGACTATGGCCCCCTGTTAAAAGACATCTTTTTTACCTGCAGAAAAGCTTCATTCGTGCTTTTCTGTCTGGGGTTCGGTAGATTTGTTTGAATGTGTTATACCCCAGATAGGAATCCCATGGAGCCCATTCGTATGAAACTGACTGTAAAGACTTTGGCTCCATGGCGATTAAACTGTATTTGTGTGGTCTGAGCACCATTCACTTAATAATGTGCGCTCAGACCTGAGCTATCTGGGGATATGTTAAATGTATAGTTTTAATGTAACGTGTCTTACCTGGTGTATTTTTACAGTAATGCTTGTTTTGTGTCACCATGTGCATAATGGAGTCTTGTCTCTGTCCTGGGAGATAATTTAATTACTTCTCAATTATCTCCTGGGCAGAGGAGAGGAAGCCAGGATGCATTGTGGTAAAAAGTATATGCAATTGGGTTACCTCTCAGGATAAGGGGAGGGAATCTGTGGGTTGTAACTAATATGTTACTGGATATTTTATACCTCCCTGTGGGCGGTCCTGTATTTGCAAGACTGTAATAAAAACCAGGCTGGGTGTGCCAGCACCTCAAACCACTGCTTGACCCTCAACATGGAGCCTTGTCTCGTCTTTGGGGGGATTTACTGTATGCTGCCAGGAGTGTAAGCCGCTTGGGAGCTTTTCCTGTTCGTATGTTAGCAGCTATTCGTGAGGTTCCAGTTCGGGAGTTTGGAGTGCTACCTTATTCCCTTGTATGCAGTTCGGGAGTTTGGTGCATTCACTTGTATTCAATTCGTGAGTTTTGGGTGATTCTACAGTAGCTGTGCCTTTCTCTAAAAAGGGATTATCGTCTAAGCGTTTTTTTCCCCTTTTGTGCAAAACGGTCCGTTACATAAGGGGTATATAGGGCATTTATAGTAGGTTTATTGATGATTTATAAGGGGTATATAGGGCATTTATAGGGGATATATGGAAGGTGTTTCTTCAGACTTCCATGATAAGATAAGATAATTGGTTTATAATAAGAATATTTCTCAATCTAACAATTACGCCACAAATTGCAAAACTACTGGTTATCACTGTATTTACATAAAAAGACAGATGTAAACTTTTACACAGTGTGAAGTTGCAGAACTCAACACAAACATATTGAAAGAATAAAATGTGCAATTTATAACAGTAAAAATGAATAAGACATGAGAACATCATTTAATGGCTGATAGAAAAACAGCGTGAGTTCACATTGTAATACCAGGAGAACAGAGCAAAATAATCCCAAAGCAACGGAAAATGCGTTCTTTTCCCAGAGAGACATGGGATTAAACAATGACAAACAGCAGAGAATGGTCTGGGATGTGGGGGAGCAGTGACAATGAGGGATTGTGAGTCCGGGATGGGGCAGAGTGCTTGGTACAGCGTCAGTCATTACGGAGTATGATGGTATAAGGGCAGAGTGCTGGGTACAGGGTCAGTCATTAGGGAGTATGATGGTATAAGGGCAGAGTGCTGGGTACGGCGTCAGTCATTAGGGAGTATGATGGTATAAGGGCAGAGTGCTGGGTACGGCGTCAGTCATTACGGAGTATGATGGTATAAGGGCAGAGTGCTGGGTACGGCGTCAGTCATTACGGAGTATGATGGTATAAGGGCAGAGTGCTGGGTACAGGCGTCAGTCATTACGGAGTATGATGGTATAAGGGCAGAGTGCTGGGTACAGGGTCAGTCATTACAGAGTATGATGGTATAAGGGCAGAGTGCTGGGTACAGCATCCGTCATTACGGAGTATGATGGTATAAGGACAGAGTGCTGGGTACAGCATCAGTCATTACGGAGTATGATGGTATAAGGACAGAGTGCTGGGTACAGGGTCAGTCATTACAGAGTTATATCATACGGAGTATGATGGTATAAGGGCAGAGTGCTGGGTACATGGTCAGTCATTAGGGAGTATGATATTATAAGAGGATAGTGTTGGGTACAGGGTCAGTCATTAAGGAGTATGATGGTATAAGGACAGAGTGCTGAGTACATGGTCAGTCATTACGGAGTATGATGGTATAAGGGCAGAGTGGTATAAGGGCAATCATTAAGGAGTATGATGGTATAAGGGCAGAGTGCTAGGTACAGGGTCAGTCATTCCGCAATATGATGGTATAAGGGCAGAGTGCTGAGTACACGGTCAGTCATTCCGCAATATGATGTTATAAGTGCTGAGTACATGGTCAGTCATTACAGATAATGATAGTATACATGCAGTGTGATGTATTTTAGGGAATGGAAAGATTGGAGAAAAGAGATTCTGGAGGAGGGTGAAGGATGGAAAGAACAATAATGGCTGGCACGTGACAATCCAGTATTAGAACAATATACAACGTTTCACCACGTTTACAAGTGTGTGTGAAGTTAGCGTCATGCCAAATACACACAGAAATGGCCAACATTGGTACAAACAGTCCGTTCAGTGATTGGAAGACTTGCGATTCTTATGGTGCAATAATATAGGAATAAATGTGGAGGCCTATGCCCCCTATATACAATATAATGCACAGCTATACAGGTCTATACAGAGAAGAGACATCAGGACAGAGCACACACATGCTTCTCTTATTTACAGAGTCGCACCAACCATGGGTGGCAGACAGAGGATCACCCACACCGCTAACGCAAGCAGGGAAACTGCGGGCAGTCTTGGAACATGCAGAGCAGAGGATCCACCAGCAGCCAGAGGGTTAATGCTATGCACAATGGAAGATAGACAGGCATGTTATTTACACGCAGGTTACACAGACTGCGTGGTGCAGTATGTAATTCTAACACAGAGACAGGAAGGCGGGTGTTAGCATCAGAATATCCCAAATTACAATGAGATTGCAGACATTTAACACAATTTGTTCCAAGGTACAAGTTTAAAAACTGAATAGACAAAAAAAAGTCTTCTGTTTTTATTGTAAACAATCAATGGCGAGGCTGCAAGCACAGGTTAAAGCATTGATGCCCCTGGTGACAGATCATAGGAACGTTCCTGCCTGTGCACAGAGTCATTGTCAGGGCAGATAGTGAGTTCTAACAGACAGAGGAGTCATTGTCAGGGCAGACAGTGAGTTCTAACAGACAGAGGAGTCATTGTCAGGGCAGACAGCGAGTTCTAACAGACAATGGAGTCATTGTCAGGGCAGACAGCGAGTTCTAACATACAATGGAGTCATTGTCAGGGCAGGCAGTGAGTTCTAACAGACAGAGGAGTCATGTGGGATAAAAGAGGTCAAATATTCTGAGCCATTTCTTGTTTTTACAATCGGATTAAATCCGCGTGATATTTTGGCCCTCTCCTCTGGTAGTTATCACTATAAAGATTTGTCACTAATCCCTAATTTAGTCACAGCAGTCACAGCTAGTCACACTGAACGTTTACACGACTTGAGGAGGCAAAAATGTCAAACTGGAGCTATCACCATGAAAACCAATTGCTCCACATTCATCATTTTTCTGCCAAATGACTCTGAACACAGAAGCCTACAGTGATCGGGACACTCGGGACCAGGAAGCGGATTGATCACTGAACTCTTTATAGCTGCTTTCATGGGAGCCAAAAAGTGCACTTTGATTAAATGACAGTGAAAGGTTTTGAGGCCAGGAACGCCATCGTGTGCACCGCACGCAGACAGTGATAACCGTGCGTTTACATTCTCGTTATAAGATAATACAAGTTCTCAGTTTGGCAGGGAAGTTGTAATACTAAGTATCACACAGGAGAATTACTTTACACATCTCAGAGTGTCTTTCCTAGCCAATAGGGGGAGAGAGGAGATTATGAAACGCAAGTCACCGTGACAAATGGTCTGGGGTCTGCTCAATGCAGAGATATTTAGCAGAAATTCCCCTGAAAGGCTCCATAGCTCCCCCTGTGGAAGATTCCAGTTCTTGTGTACACGCTGCTCCCACCTTATTGGAAAAACAACAACTGTGAATTGGAGTAGGGCTTTGTAAATGTAAAAAGGCACAGTGACATATAAACTGCTCCAGCTGGGGTTAACTAGTAACAGCATTAATTACTGCAGCTTAACAAAAGAGGAACAAAAAGCCTGGATAATATATATTTACATAAAAATAGTTTTTCCATACAAAAATAACTTAGGGACATTACTTGTCTTCTCTATCGAGTCTGCTAAAAATCACGTGGAACTCCCAAGGCCAAGCTAGGAAAGCACAGAATTCTATCCATCCTGCTGTGTGCAATGGTAAGGATATCTTTAAACTTACTTTCATGTGTACCCGGTGAGTCGTTTCTAAGTGTGTCATAAAGACAACATCTTGAACTATCAGAATAACAGCGTTGTGATTTCAACTCCAACACAATCTAAGGATATGGTAAGAGAAAGTAGAGACTGCTTCGTTTTGTTAAAACTTGAGAAAAGGCCGATTATCTGCCATCAGGCTTGGTCATTCCAACACCGTCCCTAGCACAGGGGGCCGAGGAAGGACCATGGCCGTGCCCCCCTCAATGTCTCAGCAGAATGTATCATAGCCACAACTTTACATGTGGCTCTGATATATTGACGATATTGCTCTAACATACATACATTTATTCCTTACCCAAACAGAACCTCAGCAGTGACATTTCATAAAGGGATATAAACAGTAAAATTAACCATAATGTAATCTAATAACTTTCTATGTGAAATTAATAATCGCTAAATTACTGGCTAACTAGCCCGTCAAGGGAATTAATATTCAGTAATATAGTCATTTAGCAATATTTGAATAAAGAAACAGATCAGCAATCTGGAGGTTTATTAACCATCAGAGAAAGGCACACCCGAGCCATTGGCTGAGAAAGACACTAGAATGCCGAAACGTTGCCTTTCTGGGATAATTGTACCTGTTTTGCCAAGTGCTGAGGTTCTTATTTCTTTAGTCATGAGTTTATCGATTAGAACAAGGACTTTACCTGGAGCTCAGATCAACAGGTCACTTTTCTACATTCTTACTTCCTATTGTGTTCTAGTCAGACAAACAGACCACGAGAGGGGGAATCCTGCTTTTAGTGCGGTTTTGTGAGATATAAAGTGATGATCAATATTCACACCCATTCCATAACCTCAGTTTGTACAGAATATGCTACCAGCCACGGAACACAGTGCCACAGCCACATGGCAACTCAGCCATGGGATGAAAAAACGTGGTGCTCAGGCCACAGAAAATGCAGTACATGGCACCTCAGCCATGAAATGTACACTGCACCCCAATACGTAGTGAACATGGAGCCTCAACCAGAGGATATACATGGCATCCCAACTCCAGGACACACAGAATGTGGCACCCCAGCCACACATTCTACCAATAATCCCCCTACCCTGACAGAACATCAATGTATCCATGTAGACAATAGCTTCGGACTTGAGTGACGGGAAAGTTTTGACACAAATGTTTAAAATAGGACTTCTCTGATTTGTATTTCCATTCTGTCACAGGCTGAGGTTTTATGATATTTTATATGTAGACATAGATGCTATTGTTTTCTTATTATCTATTATTTCTCAAACATAAATATTTCTGTTACTTGTCTCTGCATGCACTGACACGCCAATTTACACACCTCTCAAACATACACAAAGATATACACACACATACATACACAGATATATGATATGCACATACAGAGAGATAGACATATTGTACATTTAGCCACACATACACAATCACTCATACATTCAACATAAAAGCATTCCGTGATATAGACACATTAGATGCAACCAGTAACTTACACACACAGTCACACCTACACTCATACATTGTCCATTTTCAGTAGAACACACAGTCACACCTGCCCTAATACATTTCATGCATCTAATAACAGACACCCAGACACACCTACATTCATACATTACATGTATCTATTTACATACACGCAGACACACCTACATTCATACATTACATGTATCTTTAAACATACCCACAAACACACCTACATTACATGTATCTATAAACATACAGGCAGACACACCTACACTGACACATTTTATGCATCTAGTAAAAGTCATACCAACACTCACACATTACAAGCATTTATTAATTTACATGTAATCATACCTACACTGATACACCCACATGTATACATTATGTACATGTTTATACTTCTACATACGTAAGTTAGATGTATCTAGTAACATGCATTCATTACATACATTTAAACCTATATCTACTTTACTCACATACATACAAGAATATAGGCTTGTACTCCTATACACACACATTAACAGCAACCAGCACTTGTAATGTACACGTACATTCAATACTTTCATGCAGTCATACATTCCACATCCATTTTGTTGATGAAGCATTGACTCCAAGACAGACCATATAAAGCATTGTGTCAAACATGAATCATATACAAGCAGTCACTCATACACATACAGATTGCAGGGTCCAAGCATGTAATAATAGCTTTATCATCAACACACACAAACAAGACACGTCACATACAGCACACATTCTGTATCACATTCACGTAATAATAATTCTCACACAAACACATTATAAATTCAGCAATATCCAACAACATTCATAAACAGGCATGTTTGAGAAAATTACACACATCACATAGATATATTAACATCATGTAATATTGTTCCTCTTCTAATGCATGTTAAGGCAGATTTGCCGGCAGGACAGAAATCCATGTTGGTGGATCTAAACCCTAACAGCGTGGATAGCTTCAAATCCAAGAATTAATATCAAATAAGGGTTTGAAAAATGATGAGATAGATGTTCCTACATACTCCACCATGTCCTTGTCCATGCGCAGTAGGCAACACCAGGAATTTTATTAGAATTTGAAAAGAGGAATCTCCTTCACCCAGCCCCAAGGTGACCTGTTATACCAGCATCCCTTGACACAGTGTGGTGACACCTGATAGCATGTGAATGCAGTATCGTGGACTCCTCACCGGCTCCTCTATCCTATTAATAAGGACATGCACATGCTTTCACCATGCTGTAGTTCAGGCCTCCCACGGAACGTGAGATCTCTGTGGTGGTTTTTGAGGATGGGGTGAATGAGCCCTTGAGTATTCTCCACAGAGTTCTAGTGGTATTGCTATAAGATGTCTTCGGTTATAGGTGCTGCTCTTGTCTTTCTGGTACAGTGGGGGTCCAGATCCCTTGTCATCGTGTGGGGGAGAAGGTTACCCTGTAGCGCAGACACAGCTATCTTATACCTCTATGATGTTAACCGATGGTGTCTTCTTCTAGAGAGAGAAATCTCACATTACACGACAGCTCAGAAAATAGATAACACATAAATGCTATCAAGTAACATACTATAAACATTGATTAACCAAATCTAGTCATGTACACATGCATTCTCATATCCAACTGTACCCATAACTAACCCCATCTATCTCACTGCCCCTTCACCTTGTACTATAGCTTACCCCATCTATCTCACTGCCCCCTCACCCCGTACTATAACTTACCCCATCTATCTCACTGCACCCTCACCCTACACTATAACTTACCCCATCTCACTGCCCCTCACCCCGTACTATAACTTACCCCATCTATCTCACTCCCCCTCACCCCGTACTATAACTTACCCCATCTATCCCACTGCCCCCTCACCCCATACTATAACTTACACCATCTCACTGCCCTCTCAAAACGTACTATAACTTACCTCATCTATCTTACTGCCCCCTCACCTCGTACTACAACTTACCCCATCTATCACACTGCCCCCTTACTAAAACTTACCCCATCACACTGCCCCCTCACCCCATACTATAACTTACCCAATCTCATTCCCCCCCTCACCCTGTACTATAACTTACCCATCTATCTCACTGCCCCCCATACCCTCGCACCCCTCACCCCAACTATAGCTTACCCCATCTATCCCACTTCCCCCTCAACCCGTACTATAACTAACCCCATCTATCTCACTGCCCCCTCACCCTGAACTATAACTTACCCCATCAATATCACTGCCTCCTCAACCCGTACTACAACTTACCCCATCACACTGCCCTCTTACTATAAGTTACCCCATCTATCCCACTGCCCCCTCACCCCATACTATAACTTACCCAATCTCATTGCCCCCTCACCCTGTACTATAACTTACCCCATCTATCTCACTGCCCCCTTACCCCGTACTATAACTTACCCCATCTATCCCACTTCCCACTCAACCCGTACTATAACTAACCCCATCTATCTCACTGCCCCCTCACCCTGAACTATAACTTACCCCATCAATATCACTGCCCCCTCACCCCGTACTACAACTTACCCCATCTATCACACTTCCCCCTTACTATAACTTAACCCATCTATCCCACTGCCCCCTCACCCCATACTATAACTTACCCCATCTATTTCACTGCCCCCTTACCCCGTACTATAACTTACCCCATTTATCCCACTTTCCCCTGTGGAGGAACCAACCTCGCCACTGGAGGAGCCTGGTTGCCCACCTCTTGTCACTGGACAAGAGGTGGCCCTGCATTAAAAACCTTTTATTTTCCCTATGTGAGCAGTGTTTCCCCAGATAGCTATGCCATGGAGCTCATTCGTATAATGAAAGACTATGGGAAAGACTTTAGCTCCATGGCGATTAACTGTATGTATGTGATCTGAGCACCATCCGGTAATAATGGGCGCTCAGATCTGAGCTATCTGGGGATAGGTAGAATGTGTATGTTCTATGTGATGAATGTAACAGTATGTATTTTTATGTCTTTTATTGTCCTTTGTCTGCCATGTGGTTAATGGAGTTTTGCCTCTGTCCTTGGAGATAATTGGATTACTTCCCAATTATCTCCAGGACAGAGAGGAGGGATTGTGATGCATTGTGGGATTGTAAGCTTGTGATTGGTCAATGTCCAATATGTTTCCCAGTCTTCCATCTGGTCCCCTAGGGGAGTGTCCACTAGGTGGGAGACCTGCATAAAAGCCGGGCAGGTAGCCTCAGTAAATCAGTTCTGCTTGACCCTCAAACGAAGTGTTGTCTCGTTCTTGGGGGGGAATTGGATTGTATGCTGTTACAGTGCGACTGCCAGGAGTGTAAACTATGTAAACTGTTCGTATGGTTTTTCCTGTTTGGCTGTTTAACAGCATCCGTGTGTTTGGGAGTTGGTGAATTTGTGTGTTTCCGGTTCGGGAGATTGGTGAATTCATGTGTTTGCAGTTCGGGAGATTGGTGATTGCAGTAGCTGTCTGTGCATCTGAAAAGGGGAATGTTAAGACACCCCTGGTGCCTATGAGTGAAACCGCCATTTAGTTAAGCTTCCCCCTTCGCAATCTTGCTATCTCTGTTTGCATATACTTCAGCGTACGAACAACCATCAGGGGAAGCGGCAATCTCCCGAACAATAATCCACGAATCGTCGCTAGCCGCCGAACAAGTATATCCACCAAGCAGCTTTTGGCTCCAGCAATCAGTCTCTATTTGTCGGTAATAAATCCCCCCAATAACGAGACCAAGCTCCGAATTGAGAGTAAAACAAGAACTGGCTTTACTACCCGCCCGTATTTATGCAGGTCTCCCACTTGGTGGACACTCCCCTAGGGGACCAAATGGGAGACTGTAAGGACAGATAGACATATGGCCATTTCAGACATACAGGCACAAAATATTCCCACAATGCATCATGGTTTCCTCCCCTCTGCCCTGGAGATAATTGAGAAGTAATTCAATTATTTCCAGGACAAAGACAAATCGCCATTTTAAGTAAGACACGAGAAAACACATAAAAATAAATAATTACACAACTACCGAACATTTAACATTCGTGTAACGTATCCCCAGATAGCCTGGATCTGAGGGCATATTATTAGCAAATAGCGCTCAGATCCCATACGCATAGTTCAATCGCCATGGAGTCAAAGTCCTTACAGTCTTTCGGTATGCGATTGACTCCATGGGAAGGCTATCTGGATTAAGTCTCTTCGTGTAATCCAAAACTCCCGAACGACCGGTGTTTGCATGCTTTCGTCGACTGAGAAGGGTGATCTGTTCTTTCAGCGGTGTTCGGCAGAAAAAGTGTCAGTTTTTAGTTCCATGGAATCAATGCCGAACACTGCTGGTCTTTCGCGTGATTTAAAATGGCCGTTGCCTCGTAGTCGACATGCGAACGACGACCACCCTGTATTCGGTTATAATTAAGAAGTGTCTGCGGTTAACCATAACGTTCTAATTGGGATCAAGAGGTTAACCAGCAGCACACTTCTATTCTGGGTGGCCGTCCGTTCGGTAGATTTGTTCGGTAAAAAGTCAATCATACGCACGGGGCTATAGGAACAGGTAATTTCCACGAAAGGAAGGCAAACTAGACGAATCCACAAATAACAGTCATACAGATGGGTCTGTCACAGGGAATATCGCCTAAATGGTTTTTAACCTCTT